ACATAACTGAGCGAATGACACTTAATGACAGTTGTCATAAACATGCATAAAAAACCTTCATATTTATGACATGTGTCAGGTCATGATTATGTACGTGTCATGTCATGATTATGAAGGTGTCATGTCAGTCTTATGCACACCCCTTCAAGTAAAGTGTAACCGAAATTACTAATAGATTCGGGTGTACTTGACTCCTATGAAACGTTTTATATTAATATGTCGTCGTCTTTTTTTAAATCTCTGTTTGCAAGATGTTTACTGTTAGCTGCTCTCACAGCGGCAACAAAAATTGCTAGTCAACTGCTGCAATCCTCCTCACACAATGGACAGACGAACGTGGACTGTGTATCTGTTGGACATTATATCGATGGAACTCTCAACTTCTCGTATACATGGATCTAATGTGAAAACTGTATATTTATGGCACTCTGCTTTTAATGTTGTGTCATCTTTCCATTTTCTTTTAAGGTCTGCATTGTATTTTATTTTTTGAAGTCTACCAGGGGTGGGTTCTAGATTTGCACAGTTGCTTTTTGTTTTATATTACTGTTTCTACTCGGTCTAAAAACAAAAAAGAAGAAAATGCAATAAACAGTAGTTAGCAAAAAAAAAAAGAAATTACTAATACATTTCACAAATAATTACAAAGAAACTGCATGTAACACACTGAATTTGACATGATTTTTTTTTTAAGTAGATAAACTTAATTTCAACTTAAACGTAATTTAAACTTAACTATAAATAGAATGTATTGTTTCATATATGTGCCCTTCAAGTGAGTTGGAAATATTGTATGAGTTCGAAGCACATGAATAACCAACTGAAGTCATATTTACGATTTAGAAAGTTGCAGAATTGTGATGCCAAAAGAGGCGTGTTGATTTGAAAAATTGCAAAAACACTGATGTATAACATAGATAATTTCATATAATATATCTATAAACAATACAGAGAGATCAGCAAGTCTGTAGTGAATTATAAAGAATTATTTTAATTTTACAAGCTGCATTTCAATCATTTTAAAAGTGCGTTGTAGGGAACAGCTGAAAGTTATTCGCTCAACTTTCACAGTTTGCTTTATTTTAAACAAATATTTAGTTTGATGCCATATATAAAGTAATATAATTGAATAATCGTCATCATTCTGAATTCTGATAGTTATTTGGGTTTATTTCTCACAATATAATTGTTTTGGTTTAAGTTACTTCCGTGTCATGTTTTCGACTCAAGCGTGAATGCCTTGAGGTGCACTTGATGGCAGGATTACTTTTAATAGGTGTTTTGGCTGCAAACATGGAAATGTACAATTAAAGCACATCAATTGGCCACTGCTTATTTAATTTCATATTCAAATATACCTGAATCCCAAAAAGTGAAATCGTACAATGTCTTGGAACTTTCACCAAACCCCTCTAAAGTTTAGAAACTGTTTAAACGCAAACATGTACAGAGAATGCTGTGAATCCACTGATTTTGATACATGATTTTAGAATAATCTGAATAGTAATAGTTTTCAATCTTAGTGAACACCTCTGTTCTAAAAGAAGCAAAAAAAAAAAAAAAACATTATTCATCATAAATATTTCCCTCCACTGCAGTTCTGAAATCAAACATGTCAGCATTTTTGATCAAGCCTGATCGTGTTGCATCAGGTTTGACATCAATAACGTTTCATCATGACATCTGATGTCAAACTTACTCCAAGTGCCATATTTAATTAGAGCGATATATTGACATATTCAGAAGAATGAGAATAATGAAATACATTTTTTTTTGTTTATCACACAAATCCATTATGTGATTTAAGAGTTATTTTTTCTTTTTTGTAGTTTGACAGACATGTTGTCATTATTCCAAATCCCAGGGGTCAGGAAAACGGAAGTAGGGAATTAATTGACATTGAATAGTTTCATGAATGTGTCGAGCTTTCAAAATAATCACAAAGTCTCCTCCTGTGGTACCATGTTTCAGTTTGGCTCATACCGATGTCTTCAGAGAGCCAGTGATCTAAGCGCTCTCTGTTCTGTCTGCTCGAAGTCTAGAAACAGCATGGTCACAATTATGATCCAAGGAGATGATGCAGATCATACCTAAAATCACCTGCTACTTTAAGTGCCATGTACAAGTCTGTTACTTGTCTTTCTGACACATGCTGAGCTTTCTCCTTTCTTCTCCACTGCATGCTGTGCTAGTGCTTCATTGTTCTGTCTAAAATGTTATGATGTTAACTTATAACGTTAATTACGTTTTCATAATTAGATTTTATAGCCATATTCCTATGTAAATGGCCTCTTTACAGGTGAAATGAGAAACAGAGCTTTGCTGCAAGCTGTGGGTTTGCCGTCTGGTCTAATATAGTTGACTGAACCACACTTACAGACTCTTTGCAAATCTGCTTTATTTTGTAACAGGTTGACTAAACAATCCAAGCCGAAATATGCTACACAACCTGTTAAGGACTGAAATTATCAGGGACCTTGTTAAAAAAATATTTCATCCACCATATGCAAAGTGGCAGTTACTACATACAGTCACCACATTTTACTCTTACACCCCATTCACACGGGGCGTTGGCGTCAACTCCTCTCGTTTACTTTGAATGAGTGATGTCAAGTGTTGGCGAAATGAATTGTGGGTCTGTCACATCGCGTTGGGTCCGTGGCTCGCGGCAGAAGTTGAAAACTTTTCAACTTTTCAAGCGTCAACGCAGGCGTCAGCCAATCAGATCGCCTTATGCAAATACCCTAACGCAGACGCTAGCCAATCGCGTTCATGCAACACCAGGAAACTAATGTGATTGGCTGTTGTCACTATCACGGTCGCGTCAGCACCAAGCTTCAGAAACACCCTCCGTCAAGCGTTAATGCCCCGTGTGAATGTAGTTACATTATTCAGTTTCTAAACATTAAATGGGCGTCCCTGACATGCAGGCATTCCATTTTATTATTCTACGTTTTACCAAAATCAAATGAAAATATGCTGAAGATTTACTCACCAGTGGATCCTCTGCAGTGAATGGGTGCCGTCAGAATCAAGAGTCCAAACAGCAGATAAAAACACTGCAATAATCCACAAGTAAGACACAATCTTAGTCCATCAATTAACATCTTGTGAAGCTTATTGTGTGTCTGTAATAAACAAATCCATCAAGACATTTTTAATTTCAAACCATTGCTTTAGGCTAAAATACGAGCTCTATCCATAATATTGCTTTCTCCAGAGAAAAAGTGGTTTCATCTGAATCAAAAAAGGAACATGCACAAATCAAGCACCATTTACAAGACCTTAATGTATTGACTAAAATGGTGTGGATTACTTATGGATTGTGTTTTTATCAGCTGTTGGGACTCTCATTCTGACGGCACCCATTCAACGCTAGGGTTGGGTACCGAAACCCGGTACCAATATGGCACCGGTACCTTTGTAACCGGTATGTACTAGAACCGAATCCGAACGCAGATTTCGGTGCCATGACTGAGCGATCGATTGAAATATTTGTCCTCTGGTTCTCCGAAACGGACGTAAGAAGTATCATCACTGGCACCGCACGTGAAAAATAATTTCCCGACTGAGAAAATGCACGTGAACTCAAGTCGGAAAGCTCTAATAATACAAGTCCAACACATCTTTGTAGTAACGAGAGTGTCCATGTTGTTTTCACATTGCGACTTAAAAGCACGACTCGGGAAATGAGAGCATCCGAGGAGCGCGTGAATGCAGTAATTACACTTGCTCTGATGGCAGCAGGTAGCCTTCCGTTAACTAAGCTAAACATGCTTAAATTAAAATGCCTAAAGCTAAACCTCCCTTGTATTCACATTTCTAAACCTGTTGTCCAACAAAAGAGAAAAATTATAACCTTTTTACTCCACAACACCAGTCAAATGCTTCCTTTTGTGATCTGATGAGGCTTCTTGTCACAGAATGAGGCAGAAAATATATTCTATATGGTTGCCAAGTCCGCGTTTTTTCCACAGAATTGGGCTACTTTTAAACTGTTGCCATGGGTTGATTTTCCCAAGTGGGTTAAAGGTTTGAAATATTGCATAAATTACATTTGACTGAAATGCTTGTATTGAAACATTTTGCATTCTACCTATGATAAAACTTTCATGGTCTTCTACATTAACTGTTTCCTCCTGGTGGAATGACCTGCCCAGCTCAATCCAAGCAGCTGAGTCCTTAATATTTTCAAGAAACAGCTGAAAACACATCTCTTATATCTTGATTTGACCCTCTAACTCTAGCACTCTCTATTCTAATGCTACTTCTAATTTTATCTGCTTGTTTTTTTAATTAAAAAACTTGACCCTCTAACATTTGCACTCTCTATTCCATTTCTATTCTAATGGCCAATCCATAATTTTTTGGGGGAATTTTTTATTTTTTATTTTTTTAATAAGTATCAGTTCAGGCACCGTTTAGGCACTGGAACCATTTTAAAAGTATCGATTTGGCACCGGTATCGAAAAAAAAAAAAAACGATACCCAACCCTATTCACTGTAGAGGATCAATTGATCCATGACATGGTGATGTTTGTTTAAACTAAGCATTATCATCTCCTGTGACCTCTCAGACTCTTACGGTCAATAAAATGGCAAAAAGTCCAGGAAGAATCATAAAGACTCAAAATTCCACAATGCTCTCCCCATTTTCTAGTTCTAATTTTTAAATTGCCCTCTTCAGCTATCAAAGAAAATCATCCTACATCGAAACTCCTACGGCGTTTGAGATGCTGTTTTAAAATTGATGTGCTGTACTACTGAAATAGCCTGTGAAGTATGGCATGCATAAAGGAGATTATAATGTTTAACTAATAATAAAGAAACTGTCAGAAAATGCACCTCCTTTCCTTAAGCACGTTAAAGCATGTCATGTTTACTCTTAAGTCCCGAGTGCAAAACGATCAACAGGGAATCATTTATTCATAGTGCACTTTAGACTCTAAAGTCTCTCCTTGATACATGGAAATACGCTGATTCCTTTTGTTACCTTTCATTTTAACCTGCCATTTTTTCCTTTCAGGATTATAGTATAATAGTATTGCATTTATTTATATATTTACCTCTTCACAGAGAACAGCAAGATTTCAAAGTGTATCCTTGCAGTAATTTTCCTAGGGCAAAAAACTGGCTTCAGATTCAACATTCGCGGTTTTACCTTAAAAAAAAACAAAAAAAAAACACAAAGTACCAGCTGTATTTATTCCTTTAAAAGGTTAGAATGTTTTCAGAGTCAGTAAAGAAAGTTGAAATGCATCAAATACAAGTTTTATCCCCTCATTAAAGGCAAAGTGTGTAATTTCTGTCAGCAAAAATAAAAAAATTTAATCAAACCAAGAATGGTTTATTTTTTAAACGTACACACTTTATTTGAAATCACAAAGGAAATGTATAATCTATAATATCCTCATAAGAACCAGCATGATCAAGAACATATTGTACAACAAACAAACACTAAATGTAGCTCAATATGAATCATATCATCGTACAAACAAACATGATTTCCATAAAGGTGTGTTTTGTCAATCAAATCCTGAATCACGGCTGATGTTTTCAGAAAACACTACAATAATAAAAAAAAGAACTCGCTTCCCATATATTTTTGCAATGAACATTGACTTTATCAGTCATAATACCATATTAACAATGTACAGGTAGGCCTACATGACTAAAAACATAGTAATGCCATGGCACGTTGATATGTCAAGTGTTTTCGTGTAGCCTACTGTTTTGATAGATGATAGTGTTTTGGTCGAAAACTGTTTACCTACTGTATAGAGTCGTGCCGGTGTCAAACTTCATGAACACCTTCTTCTTCATCGATGCCAGACGATGTATTTTAGGCTTTGTTTTCAATGGATTGTAAGTTAATATCCACGTTATGCAGCGCTCTCCTTTTTTCTTTGGCCTAAAGCACCCCGCATTTTGCTGGACGACAAACAGCTTTCAAACGATTCAGTGTATGAGAGTTGACTGAATTATTCGTTGTGTGAGAGAGCTGTTCGAATGAGTCATTGAGTGAATGAGCTGTTCATATGATTCAGTACTTTCTCAGCGAGTGAGCTGTTCAAACTGTTTAGTTTGTTTTGTTTTGCTAACCGTTTTTGATCAATATACTACAGTGCCTAATTTATAGCATTAAAAGGGCAATAGGAAAGTTGTGAATAAAATCCGACAGCTGCTTGGATCATTGTCTATTCTGCAAATATGTAATCCTGTAATAAAACCAATATATTTTCTTTGACTGGTCACAGGGCACCTAGTTCCCTGAGCAAGACGCCTGTTATCGAGCTTGGATCATTGTCTATTCTGCAAATATGTAATCCTGTAATAAAACAAATATATTTTCTTTGACTGGTCACAGGGCACCTAGTTCCCTGAGCAAGACGCCTGTTATCGAGTTGGGAAGTGACAAGGTTATGACCTTTTCTGCAGGGTAACACTCCCTGCCACATATATTAATGGTAATAGATGTGTTACCTGACACTTCAAGATAAAAATGTATGATTAGACATTGACCTGCTTCTGTCCCAGCCCAGCAGTATGAAACACATTGATATATTATGGTGTTTCACATTCCATTATCGTGACTAAGTATGAGTTGAGAGAGGCAGGGTGAGCATGACCAAAATCTATATCACTGTAAAGGTGTAAATCACAATAGGATTAGTTTTGCTAGAAATACAACAACAACAAAAAGCGTATGTATTAAAGAATATGCATGTAGTAGTATATGTAGTGATGCTATCTTTGTGTAACGGAATTAATTTAAATACTTTACTAATTAAACATCATCTCATTTCATTATTTTTGCTTTTTATTTGTAGGCAGTCACAAATTAAAAGATCATTAATACTGATAAAGTTACTAATCGTTAGTGTGATTCACTGTACTGTATATATTTTTTTAAATAATCCAAGGCATGGCTTTTTTATGTTGAAGTAATTTGCTTATTTTAAATGTCTTAAATTAACGTAAATGTGCCATTATTGCAGCAATTACTTGATTTCTTAATCAACTTTCCGTTTATTTACATGGTCTTAAATTGTGTTTAAAGTTCCCCGTCTTATGTTTTCTTTGAGAAATGTACAGTTTACAGAAAACAAAGTGCTTGTACTCATTTATTGCATGTGAAACACAACAAGAACATTTTAAGATGAACAAATAAACTCATTATGGCATCACACAAGAAGTTACTAAATGTGACAGAATCAATGATGAAAATAAAATTGGCTAGCAGGCAAACAAAACAATCATATTAATCATTCATACCCCAGTGCATGCTGGGAAAAACACAAATGAGACCATTAGTGTAGGCCTACAGTATTTGAACTCAGAAAACTGCATTAATCAAACTCACCTGCTATGCTTGTTGGTTCAGCCTAAAATAAATTGTAAAAAATCTACATCAGGATGTTGGGTCATGTCAAAGTTACAACCGAGAGCAGTTTGCCCTTACAAATGTAGTTTAGAAATCCAATATTTGTAGATTATGGCATGTGAATTGAAGCTCATTCTAAGTAGATTCTGGATATGAAGCATGAAGAGCATTACAAGCAAAGGAGAAAAAGAGAAAGAGAGATTGGATAACACGATTAAGTATTTTCAGAGCGTGACTTTAATGAGATTTCAACATAATTTACCTCAAATGGGATGAAATTAAAATTCCCTTTACCTTAACACAGAGACACATGACACACAGTCACACATAACCATCCGCCCCCTGTGCAGTCCAGATACACGAGGACTTAAATACCCTTGAGAAAGGGAGTCAGAATGAGTGTCTGAGTGTCACGCACAGGACTAGATGGCATACGGTGTCTGGCAAAGAGTGAAAACAAAAACAAAGTTCAAGGGAAGGTCTTAGTGCCAACCTTCAATACTTTCACTTTGAATCACATGAATAAAATTATTTTATTTAAAAAAACATTTACATAAAGAAAAGGGAAACTATTTTAGGACCTTTAAGATTTCTTGCATTGTGACATTATTTGCATGATAATTATGCACATATAGATTAATTGCATACATTTAGATTTTTAAATGTATAAACATTTTATATTTTACATTTATATTTATATATGTGTAAATACTTAAAAATTGTATTTTTTTTGCATCACAATAATAAAAATTTTGACTTTTAGAGAACTTTAAGATATATGTGCTATAGTCATTAAATATTCACCCTTTTATCTCCAAAACGTACCTGTTTTCCATCATTAGATGTGATTATTGTGATACGTTAATGTTAGTTTTCCTCACTTCCAAAACGTAAATCAAAGTGTCTGCTAAATGATTAAACGTAAATCTGAAAAATCCTCTGTCTTTTATTGTACATAGACTTACTGTACTTTATCTATCCACAACATCTGAAGTGTTTCCAGCGGTTGGAGATTCCTGCCATCTAATGAGCTCCGGAGCTCATGGAGAGAGTCATTAAGTAAATTAGTAACGACAGACTAATTTGCATATTCATAGAGTGCCCTAGATCATGCCCCGAGGCAAAGTAATACAAAAGCAACAGGTACAGAGATTCACCATTGACTTGCCTGCATGATGGTGTTTGATTTGGACGCAGAGGGTTTCACAGCAGTCTGAGTTCATGTCCCATGAATGATAGATTGAATGGTACATTATGAGCACATTTTAATTAGCTCTAGCAAAAAAAAAATAAAAAAAATTGTGCCCCAAAGGGTGAAAGCACCAAAATATCTGTTTACTGTTGACTCTGCTATTCAACTTTAAATTTGTTAACTCTATAAGTTGTAGATTGTTTGAAATGGTATAACTTGTCCCAGATTATATGCAAGAATGAAAAAATTGAAGGGGGTCTGAATACTTTCCGTACCCACTGTATATGTATATATACACACACATTTATTCGTTATTGCATATAATCTGGGATACATATATCAATTTGCACAGAGACAGCAATTAATAATATGTAATATATGCATTTAGCAGACGCTTTTATCCAAAGTGACTTACAGTGCATTCAGGCTATACATTTTTT